ATATCTCTCGGTACTTTTTCGTAAGAGTAGACAGAATTCCAGGAAACTAGTTCACCGGGAAAGGAATGCGAAGAGTCGCCTAATTTATTCCGACTGCGTTCACGCGAAAGAAAAAGAGAGAGAGAGAGAGAGAGAATCGTGAACGCGACGGAGACGACGAAGACGAACGTAAGAAAATGAAAGATGGTCGGGATATTCTGATCAAAGCAAGTCTCCTCGGCCTGTTTCCATCGTGTCGTCCCTCATATCCACGCTATTCCAACGACCAAGCACTTCATTTAGCGCTTCTCCATGTTTCATAGAGAGAACTAGTTAGATACCGCAGCATCGTTGGTGCCCCTCATTTGCAGCTGCATTCAGCCGGGCTTGCCTCGGCTCGGTTTTCTCCGCGATATAGAGGAGAGCAGGCCCACTCTCTTTTTCTCGTCTCGAGGGTCAGAAGTGCTAATGAGACAGACACGAGATGATGGGGTGGAAAATGGAATCGAGTCTCTTTGGAACGCTTCTTTTTTAACCCACTCCCTTTCTTCCCTCTATTCCCGTGGATGGAAATAGTCGTGATACGCTTTGGAAAACTGGGCCATGTTTTGTGCCGTCGAACGTCGTCCAAATCCCCAAAGATGGTAATAAATTTATGCGGGAGAGACAAGGGAAAGATGAATAAGGGGGGAGGAGAGAGGCACGAAAGTTTTTAATTATTCGAATCGTAGCAAGTTTCGCGAGAGAGTTTATTTCTCGATCCCGGAAGATTGTTTCGTTCCGTGATTGCGAGGGAAAAGTTAGGCAAGTTTAAGCTCCCTCGATGCTCCTTCCTTGCCAAGATGCTCGATCCTTTTAATTTTTCATACGCTTTCAACGATACATTTCTCAATAATTCAACGTTGAGCTTTATCACGTGCCAGAAACGGGCATCTATTTATCCACATACGCGCATAATGATGCAAGAAATTATACACCTGGACACACTCCGCTCTGATTTATCCGTTTAGCTTTCCACTCGATATGCAAATCGGTTTACAACACGCTCGTTTACGAGTTTACGAGTCGAGCGCGAACGAGTTTCTTTCAAAAACTTTTTCGAGTAAACAAATTCAGGTTCATCGACCATTTACGAAATCGCCGTATTATTATTTACACGCATACGAAAGTATATATTGAAACGTTGTGCGCATATAATTCGCATACGCCGACAGAATGTTTTCCTTTTCTCCTCTTCCTTCTTCCCTTCGCAGATTTTCGAGCGTTCTTTAATCGTCATCTTTACGCGTGTTCCGGTATCAATCACGAGCGTGTTTATCAAAGGCAACCCTTCACTTATCTCGATCGCGTATGCTCAACCCGGCACACGCTTTATAATCGCGGTATACACCTATAATCATGCAAATAACTGGCCGCTTATTAAAATGCAACTATATTACTATATACACCGGTCATGATAATCGTGCCAACTTAATCGGGACTTTCCGGTGGCTTGTCACACGGTATACAGCCAATTATCGATCATTTTTCAATGCCAGAACGCAAAAGCGACGAGGTGTGCGGTTTTTAAACGATTGATTATCGTTCCTCCGCGCTAATATATAGCCTAGATAGTGGCTAACAAACGCTAAAAGTGCGCATTGTGACAGATTCGTGAATCAAACGCGCCGATGTACAATATGTTAATACATTTATAATTGATATTTATCTCGAGAAATCTTTCAAGAGTCGATTTTCAGAGACACTAAAACGATAGATAAAAGTTAAATTATATAGGTAAGAAATTTAGCTCTTCGAGGAACACAAATAAATATTAAAGGATACTCTATCTTTTTATACGATGGAATATTTTTCAACTTTAAATACTAAAATTAGAAATGATTAAAATTTAAAAAAGAATTTCTATTACGCGTAATATTTTATTAAAATAAAATTTTTCTTTTTTCGTCGCACGATTCTCTTTTTAATCTGAAAATTTGCGTCGCAAAAAGTTAAATTTGCATTAGATAAAACGAAGATAGTACTGTCTCGCTTCGTCTAATACTCGAGGAACAAGTTTTAATGGACGTTTTTGTATATCAATTTTTGGATTTGTCTTTAGCCTCTAGGATCATCTGTTAAATATTCCATTTCAAAGATTCTTGGTCGTGAAAATTGGGGCGGGTGAACTCGTAATCGAATAATCGAGAGTTCGATTTGCAAAATTTTCACGAGTCTCCTCCATCCGATTGTGTGCACCGAGGATTGCTCGTGCGGCGAATGCAAATGAAATTTTGCATATTTATGGAACATACATAGGTACGTAGCTCATACGCAAGCCATCGATCTTTGAGTTTGTTTATTCGCCGTGTTTTCCCATTGATTATCGCGTGGTTCCGTTATCGCGTTGTTAATGGAATGTAATTATTAGGCTCTCATGATTTTTACTCGTGTTTGATGTTTATCGTTGTGTATCGTCGTGTATATTTAAATGTTAACCCTTTTCAATGATGAAATTTTGAGGAATCCGATGCTTTCCAAGATTTAGATCCCTGTTTAGATGATGTTTCTAAACATATTCGAAATAATCGAAATAATCGTAAGATTTTCTCTTTCGTCAATTTTTAAATTCGCAAGAATTGCTGGAAAACTGCAAACGTTCGAAGGTTCTATAAATTTTTTTAATGCTGAGTGCATTCGTTAAAACGAAAGAATGGAAAAATTTCAGGCATTCGAACAGTTTATAGAGATATTATTAAGATTTGTGCAACGAGAATGTCGACCCGGGCTTCGAGATTCAAGATGTCTCACCTCGGTGTACAAACCGTGAAATCGATCAAGTTTCGCGGGTGAATGTTTCAATCTAAGTTATAAGGAGCGTGACTCGGATGATCCTCGCTTAACCCAGATCCACGGATATATCCTGTCGTCTCTCAAGGTATAAACCTGGTCATGCGACGGGGAAGGTTTTTTCGATTCACCGTAAAATCGAGTCGGAAAATTGGCGAAAGATACTCGAATATTTTTATTTTTCCGGACCTAACCATCTCCTCGATTTCGAAACACATCCATCTGTAATAAAACAACTTTATTTATTTATCCGTGAGATCAAAATTTCGTTTCCAAAATATTGAATATTCTTCTCAATTTATCTGAAATACCAATTTTAAAGAAACGTTTGCACTCCGCAATAAAAAAAAGATACGAAGATACATTCCTGATACTAAAAAAAAAAGATACTCGCAATTGCAGCACACCAATTATAATGCATCGAGATACCCGTTGAAAGGTATAGTTACACCGTTAACAACCGTCAAACCATGCAAATCGTCGGCACAGCCATTCCCCCGGTCGTAAACCACCGTGTGAGAGATCGGCCGTGGAGGTGAGCGCGACATTTCCACCTGGTTACACGCCCCGGTGTACACCGAAATCGCTCGTATTACGGCCTGAAAAGCGCACGCGTATAGCTCGGCTCAGTTTTTTTCCACTAAACTGCCCTCGTTGGAGAGCA